AAGTGTCTTCAGTCCCAGATCAGAGAGGAAAGAAGGGAAATGATGTTGATGTGGGCCCTGCAGTGCTACCCTTGCTTCTCTGTCCCTGGGCAGAGGTCTGCATCCACCAGCTTTATCCCATGGCCTTGTCTCCCAGCCTTTCCTATCTCCTTTGAATTCCTCCCTTATCAGTGGGGCTGCAGACAGCAAGTCTTTACCACACATGCACAGAGGTTCTTGATAAGGAGGCTATTTTAAACCAGTATGGAACTCTTCCATATAAAGTACTGGTGACTTTTTTTTTCTTCTCATGGGCTGTCACTGATGCAGGCTAAAGACACACTTCAGTCGCCCACAGCCGGTCCCATGCCTCAGCCTCCAAGTCGCTATGGCCAACAGAGGGGTCTCAGCTGCACCACAAGTCCAGCCAGTGCTAGCCTAGGCCATATTTCTAGGGGGGATGGTAAAATATCAGGGTCCAACCTGCCTGTTCTAGGACCCAGTGTTAGAGAGCCCCTGGCTGGCCGAGTCCTGGTTTAAGGACCATCAGGAAGCCACAGCACTGTGTCAGTTGAGTGGGTTGGAGCCACAGAGTCAGATCCTTATATACATCATGGCTATAAGCGCTTCCCTATCTTACCATGCTCCTGGCGCACAGTAAGTGATTAATTGGTTCATCTGTTATGTTAACTATAAGCTGAGGCGAACCAGGAGAGTGCAGATGATTCCCTGCGATCCACCCCTTTCTGGAAACTGGGAAACCTCCTTTCAGAGCAGGTCCTCCTGGAAATGGGCGTGTCCCATGGCAAGGAAGGGAACCAGCAGCCTTGACCATGCAAGTGACTGTTCGTATCACAAGGAGACGGGATCCAGGCAGAAATCACATTGACCCGCATAATTCCGGGCTGCCCCTGCGTTCCATTTTCATGCACTGTCCCAGGGACCCCCCTGAGTCCTGCTGGGCCTCACCTGCTTGGCTGTGGCTTCTCATACATGGGCTTGGTCAAGTATGTCCTCCTCTGCCCCCTCCCAGACTCCATCGCAAACTTCTTGAAGGGCGGCTTGCTCCTGCTGGTTGACTCACTGAGCTCTCTCCTTCCTTGCTTCTGCAAAACAGATTCGGGAAGAGGACAAGAGCCCTCCACCGTCCTCGCCCCCTCCCCTTTTCTCTGTCATCCCAGGGGGCTTCATTAAGCAACTGGTCCGGGAGACTGAAAAAGAGGCCAAGGAAGCGAGACAGAGGAAACAGTTAGCTCTCGCCTCTCCGGAACGAGAGGTAAGTGGTTCCTAAGAAGCGGGACCAGATGCGTTTCCATTCCCATCATTCTGTCCTGTGAGCTTCCTCTGAGTCATTTGTCATCCTGCCTTTGCTCCTGCTATCCTGGCTTTGAGGAATGTCGTTTATTCAACTTGATCTATTGAGCTCTTGTGTACCCTTCAAAACCCAGCTCAAATAGCACATCTCTGGAAAGTTCTTCCATTGTCTTCCTTCTCTGAATCCTGCTGCGCTTTCTATGCCTGTCTTAATTGTGGTTGGTTGGCATAGTACTTATTTGATTATATGACTTATTTGACTAGGAATTCCTTAAGCACGGAGTCTCGCTCTGTCACCCAGGCTGGAGTGCAGTGGCATGATGTCCGCTCACTGCAATCTCCGCCCCCTGGGTTCATGCCATTCTCCTGCCTCAGCTTCCCGAGTGCCTGGGACTACAGGCGCCCGCCACCACGCCCGGCTAATTTTTTTTGTATTTTTAGTAGAGACGGGGTTTCACCGTGTTAGCCAGGATGGTCTCGATCTCCTGACCTCGTGATCTGCCCGCCTCGGCCTCCCAAAGTGCTGGGATTACAGGCGTGAGCCACCATGCCCAGCCTACTTGACCACTATTTTTATAGAAAAGGAAACCTAGATACTGGCTAAGATGTATAGTTGGTTCACTTTAAGCAGAAAGCTACTGAGTTGGTACTAACTGGTGTAGTTGCATTGATTGTTAAAATATTGAATCCTTCATACCAGGTGGTAAATGGTTGTAACCCTTGGGCCCCCAAGTGCCCTCCAGCTGCCATGTTTACCCAGGTCCCTCTCCTGAGTCCCTTGGAATGGCTACAATCCAGTAATTACAGGGTTAATGCTTGGCACAGGTAGGAACCTCAGTACCTTCCTCCAGCTGGTGTCCCTCCTGATTGGTTGATGTCCACTAAAAATCCTTAGCTATTCTGAATAGCTATTCTGCTAAAAATCCTTAGCTATTCTGCTGCTGGATTGAAGCAATAGTTGAATACAATGTGGCCCCTATGCTTTAAGGATTTGTAAACTTGTCCCTGGTGGTGGCCAGTGCTATTTCTCTCCTGTCCTCTTTAGCCTTGGAACCTGGGCAGGATGACAAGGCAGACCATGAGAGAGGCAGGCTTGGAGTGCAATGCATCTTGGGAGTATCCCTGTGTTAGGCAGAAAGGGCATCTCTTTATGTCTCTTCAGTGCCCCCTTTGGACAAGATGAATGCTGCAATGCCTGGGCTGAGAGGTCTGGTGGCCTCAGAGCCTGGTGTTGGCTTAAGCCCAGTGACCCACCCTGGCTCTTCCTTCCCCTCCCCTTCAGCTTTGGTTTGCCCGGCTAGTCCCACATGTGCCTGCACCTGTCCGATGAATGACTTCGATGCATTAGAGAGGTCCTCCAGCAGCTGAACAGCAGCAGCTGCTGAAACACCTCAGCCAAGTCTTTCTTGGGGAGATTGACCGGGAGGACAGGCTCTGTTCCCACTCTTTCCTGACCTGAGGCATAAGTGGGGGCCAAAGCTGACCCCAGCAGGCTGTTGTTAGGTTAGGATGAAATGTTACTGTGTGCCGTTTATCACCAGACAATGCTTCTGTACTGCTCATGGGCTCATTTGATAGCCCGTGCAGCAATGCAGGTGGATGGGATTCTACCCATTGATCACAGGTGGAGACTGAGTTCAAAAGAGGTCAAGTGATTTTCCCAAGGTCATAAGACCAGATAGAGGCAGAGCAAGGAGGGGAGCCTGTGTGTTCACTTCTCTCACAATATGCCTGGAAAAGGACCAGTCTGGTGAGCAAGGTGGCCAGGGTGGTGCCACAGAGACCTGTGGGGAAAGGGTTCCATGAGATTGACACCAGCAGTGCTGGTGTCACTGTGAGCAAGTAAAGAGGCAGAGCTAAGCCATGGATGGGGACAAACTGTCACTGCTGTGCCTGGATGGAGATTCAGAGCCAAGATGCAGGATGGCTCTGAGCCTCAGCCCACAGCAGGTGGCTGGACCATGGGCCAAGATATTCCTGGGGCTGGAGCAAGGGAGCCTCAGGACATGTTTCCACACGGCAGCAAGCTCTGGTTGGTTCCTGCCAATTTAACTTTCTTGTCCCAGTCAGTAAATAACTCTGTACTCTCCTGCCTTGTCCCAGCACAACTGTTTCATTTGATCCTCATCTAATCCTTGCAAGAAGCCATTACAATCCATCCCATTTTGCAGGAATGGAGAACAAGGTTTGGGGAGGTGACCCGGTTCTCCTAAGGCTACCCGGCCGGTGAGGAAGAGGGAGAGGCTGGAATAACATCGGAGTGGAAAGTAGCCCGTATTAAATGTCAAGGAGACCTAGATTCCAGCTCTGGCCTTGCCACTTTTTGTGGTCCTGGCTAAACCCCTTCCCCTTTATTGGCCTCAGTTTAGTCATCTATAAAAATGTGCTTTAGTTTCCTGTTGGCCCCAGTGATTCTAGAGGTGCTGTTTCCTCTATATGCTAAGAAGGGTGGCAGGGTGGGGCGACCAAAGACTTTGATGACTTTGAAGATCCAAAGGAAGAGAATTCATGGGCATATGAGGGTGGGGTGGGAGAAGACTGGCACTAGTTATCTTGTTTGGCCCACCCCACGTTACTGTCTACTCTGTGGTGGTTGGTTAAAAATAAGGCACTGACTCACTTTTCAATATAGTGTAGACAGTGGTGAGATTTGCCAAGTGCAGTCAATCCCCCTTCCAAGGCTATGTCCTGCCTTCCCCAGAAGGTCAGGAGGAGCTACTCGGCCATGGGCCCCAGAGTCATGATGCTGAGCTCCAGCTGTACCTCGTAATCACCCGGGGAGTCACAACCCAGACAGACTAAATCAGAGTCTCTGGGAATAAGGCCAAGGCATTAAGGTTTTTTAAAGAGCCCCAGGAGATTCCAGAGAGCCCTAGAGAGACAAGGAAGGGCGTCTAATATGCAGCAGTTAAAGGCACTGGCTTTGGAGTCAGAGAGAACTGGTTTTACATTGCGTCTTTGTAGCTGGGTCTCCTTACATCTTTGCATCTGCTTCTGTGCTTATAGAATGGGGAGAAGTTTAGAATCTACTCCAGTTGTTCCTTAGGAGGATTAAATAGGAGATTGCATGATGGTGATATAGGGCTCATTGCAAGGAAGATATAAATGATAGATATTATTATCATCATTATTACAAAGATGAAAACAGAGACTTTGCTGTGGCATCGGCCACCTAAAACAGGAGAGAGACGCAGATAAAAGCCAGAATGGAATGCAGAAGGTGGCCTTGCTGTGACTGGTGTGCTAGCATAGTGCTCTGGGACTTGGTGCAAGCTTGGAACAATTTCTGATTGAGGTCTTCAGGCAAGATTTGTAGAGAGGAGATACAGGAGATATTTGAGCTGGGTATAGAAGATGAGTAGACCATGGACAAGTGAAGAGGGGAAAGGGCACTCTGGGCAGCAAGCTCAGCATAGGCAACAGCCTGGAGGCAGGGGAGAGTCAGGTGGGAGAAGGTGACCAGTACAGTTCATGCATGGGAACGAGTAGGGACAATAAATATAGTCAGATTGGAGGCTGGGGTTCCTTGTTGAGGAATTTGAAAGACCAATGGTGGTGCCAGATGATTTTCCTGTAGGCAGCTACGCAAATCTTTTGATCTGGTTTAAAATGGCTGGCAGCAAATTGAAGGGACAGCAGTTCACGGGCTGTGGCAGTGGCCCAGGTGAGGGATAGCAGACATGGGTTTGGAAAAAGAGACACAGATGTGAAGCTTGGCAGGGTGGAATCAACATGCCCCTAGGACTGGTTTGAATGCAAGAGGAGGGGGAGAATCCCAGATTCCCAGGCATGGGTGTCTGTGAGGCTGTGCTAGCATTGTCCAGGATGGAAGAACCCAGGCTACAGGCTAGGGTTGGTGGTGAAGCCAGACATCAGGGTGGAACTTGCTTATGAGGTTGAGGTCTTTTTCTGCAGGGATGCAGGCACAGCTGGACCTGTGAGCTCTTCAGGCCACAGCCAGGCTGGTTTGAGGATGAAGCTCTGCACAAGGCTAAAATCACAAGGCAGTAAAAAGGCCTGGGAAGGGAGCAGGCAGTGGAAACCCCTTGGGTGTTATGCAGCCACCAATGTCTAGGTCAGGCAAGAGTGGGGGACCCCAGGGGCAGAAACCAGAGCCCTCAGCTGGTATGGGAAGTGTGATATGGGGACCAGGGCAGTGGAAGTAGCAGCAGCTCAGGCTGTTCCTCTCTCTGTGATCTCGAAAGTGCATTTCCACATCTCATCCTATTAAAGATCTGGATGGTCAGGTGGTATTTGCCTGTACTGGGGAAACCCAAAGCCCAGAGAGAAAAGATGGTAGCCCAGATAGAGATAGAGAGGAAGCCTTGCTGGAGAGTGTTGCCTTGCCTCTAGCCTTGCTAGAGGCAAGATGAGAACAGGTCTTCTAGTGACAGGTCCTGAGTCCTTTCCTGGATCCCCTACTGGCCCAGGAAGAATCCAGGCAGAAATAACAACAGTAGTAGCAGTAGCTACTGTTATTGAGAACACACTATGTGCTGGGCTCAGTTTCTACATATTATCACACATTCTCACACCTAACCTGCAAGGTGGGCTTTTATCATCCTCATTTTATTGATTGAAAAACAGACTCAGAGAGGAGAAGTCATTTAGCTAAGGTCACACAGCCATAGAGTGTCAGAGTCAGGAGTTGAACTTGGTTCTGTTGGGCTCCAAAGTCCACTCCTTCCACTCCATCACTTAACTTTGAGGGGCTGGGCCAAGGTCAAGGGTGCTAGGCTTGGCCATGCCTGTTGAATTTGGAGGTGCTCGAGCATCTGTGGAAGGATGAATGGACAAATGAACAACGAAATGAATCAATATGCGTGAGTGAATGACAACGCTGTCAGGTCAGCAAGCAGCTTTGTAGGCATGGTTGTGTTCTCTCTCCTAGACCCCAGAAATTTCCATCAGCGAACCCAACAGCAAGTCCAGCAGTGGCACCAGATCTGGAAGCCAGCAGATCTCTCAGGACAACCAGTCAAGCTCTCCTGGGAGCTCAGACATTCTGAGCAAGGAGAGCGAGGGGGTCGGCAGCCCCGACCCTGAGCGGATGACCAGCATCAATGGTGAGAAGGCCCAGGAGCTGGGCTCCAGTGCGACACCAGCCAAAAAGACCCTCCCCTTCAAGAGGGGCATGAGGAGGGGTGATGTGTTGTTGATGGTGGCCAAGCTGGACCCGGACTCAGCCAAGCCAGAGAGGACTCATCCCCATGACACCCAGCCTTGCAAGACCCCTCCCCCAGCCACAGATACTGGAAAGGAAAAGAAAGGGGAGACCTCTGGGGCTCCTTGTGGCCCCCAGGCCAGCACTGAGATCTTGGCCCCGAAAGCTGAGAAGACCCGGACTGGGGGTCTTGGGGACACAGGTCAAGGAACTGTGGCACTGAAAAAAGGCGAGAAGGGTCAAAGCATAGTGGGGAAGGGGGGTGGGACCCCCAAAACCAAAGAGCTGAAAGAGGCTGAGCCCCAGGGCAAAGACAGGCAGGGGACCAGGCCCCAAGCCCAAGGGCCCGGCGAGGGGGTGCGACCAGGGAAAGCAGAGAAGGAGGGAGGGGAGACCACAAGCCCGGTGGAAAAGGAGAATATCTCTAAGAATGTAGGGAGTGAAGGGAAGCATGTAGGGCCCCAAATCCCTGGGAGAAAGTGGGGAAGTTTCCTGGGAAGAAGGAGTAAGTGGGATGGTCCCCAGAATAAGAAGGACAAAGAAGGGGTGCTCTTAAGTAAGGCAGAGAAGACAGGTGAGCCTCAGACCCAGACAGAGAAGAAAAACCAAATGCAGGGTGAATTGGGGGACAATCTGAGAATGGGGGAGAAAGCAGGTGAGCTTCGGAGCATGACTGGGAAGGCAGGTGAGTCCTGGGATAAGAAGGAAAAGATAGGGCAACCCCAGGGTAAGTCCGGGAAGGCAGGCGAAGCTCGGAGTCAGACGGAGAAGGGCTGTGAAGCCCCAAAGGAGGTGAGCACGATGGTGGAGTCACCAGTGGCTGCTGGGAAGGGAGGCTGGTCAGGAAGAAGTGGGCAGGAAGCAGAGCGGCCCTGCTCAAGAGAAGATGTTGCGTCTGGTGCCCTGGAGACAGAGCTGGAAGGACCCAGCCAGCCTGCTCTGGAGAAGGATGCAGAAAGGCCTCGGATACAGAAGGAGAACCAAGATGGGCTGGCCCCCCAGGAGGCGGGCAAAGGAGGCCAGAGCAGAAACTCAGAGCAGGTGAGGGGGCTGCGGCCCTGGGAGTGGGGAGGGGCAGACAGGGCACCCCCAGAGATGGAGGGATGGGAAAGATCTGCCCCCAGGGATGGGCAAGGGGTGGACGGGCGGTGGTCAGGGAATTGGAGAGGGGTGGCTGGAACTGTGAGGCACCCAGAGGAGGGGACGAGCACTTCCTTCATGAGCAGAAGTCTTGAAGTTTCCATTGCACCTGCCCTGGAGTGGAATTCCCCACGGAGTGAGGGAAGGTCCCCAAAATGTGAGGTGTCTCCTCATGGCTGACATGGTAGAGCTTGCTTATGATGTCACACGACAGCTTTCAAACTTGGAATGGCATAAAGAGCAGATTGTTAAACATGCAGATTCCTGGGGCCAGCCATGGAGTCTCATTACAAAGACCAGGAGTGGGGCCCAGGAATCTGCATTTATTTATTTATTTATTTGAGATGGAGCCTTGCTGTGTCACCCAGGCCAGGGTGTGGTGGTGTGATCTCGGCTCACTGCAAACTCCGCTTCCCGGGTTCCAACGGGAATCTGCATTTAAATAAGCACACTCCCTCTCCCGTTCTCCCCCAGGAGATTCCGATTTGGACGGCCCCAGACCACACTGTGGGAAACCCCCGTGGAAGGTGGAAGGTGGGCAGTGGTGCCATTTGCTTGTTTAATTTATGTGATCTTGGTTCTCAGGCTCCTGAGGACAGATGGTACGAGGCAGAGAAAGTCTGGCTGGCTCAGAAGGACGGATTTACTCTTGGTAAGTAGGGGCGTTAGCACCTTTGGAGGGTCCGAGTCTTCTCTTGTGCCTCCTACTGCTGCCAGCCATATGTTCCAGGTCCTGATTACACTTTGAGCGTCAGGAGGGGAGAGGAGCAGTGGAGACTGTCTTTCAAAGACATTTGTGTCTTGACAATGAGTTATTTACCTACTGAAACTCATTAATGCAACACGCATGCTTGCTTTCTATGGTGTTCTTCAAGGAACCCAGAGTCAGGTACAAGTGGGCCAATAGATTTGATCTCATAAGCCTACTTTTGTCGATTGGTTGTGGCTGATCACTGCACTCTACTGAGAAGTGATTTTGAGTCCCAGTCTGAACATGGCTGGGAAGAGTGGTTGATTAGTGATGTCTGCCATGGGCATTGGAGGGGGAAATGGCAGCTTGTATGCCATCATCTGCCATTCCAGGTCTGTGTATGAGATAGGTCAGTGTACCCAACTGTCTGGGTGCCTACTCTGTGCCTGGCACTGTGACAGCTGGTAAAAGCCTAAGGTGAGTCAGACTGAGCCTGACCTTAAAGGATTTGGGTTCACAACTCAGAAAGCTCCAAGCGAATAGACCCCAAACAGGGAAGGTGTAGCCTCTTTCTGACTTGTCCCAAGCCTCCTCCCAAGCTTGCTGGCCCAGCTTAGAGCCTCTCGTTTCTCCTACCCTCGCCTCTTTCCCCTCTTCTCCTCCCATCTCCTCCCCTTTCCCCTTCTCTCTCTGGGATGTACAACCAGCTACAGTGCTAAAGCCAGATGAGGGAACAGCAGACCTGCCGGCAGGAAGGGTGAGACTTTGCATTGATGCTGACAAAAGTATCACTGAGGTGGATGAGGAACATGTCCATCGGGTGAGTCCCCTGTCCCGCTGCCCCCCTGCTCCATACCCTCCTTCCCCAGCCCTGCAAGAAGTTTCCTTGTACCTGACTACCAAACCATTTTGGCTTGATGCCCTGTAAGGAGTTATAGCAAAGAACCCCACTGAACTCATTGCTTTGCTGGAGGGATACTGTTAGGGGGTCATTCACCCTTTCCTGTGGTTTCTCTTAATGAGGACACATCAAGGGACATGTTTATCAGGTCTTAGAACTGGGAGTTCTTCTGATGGACCCAAAAAAATGACTGCTTTTAATTTTATACGTATTGCAAATCATACTACAGAGCATGTTTCTGTTTTCACTCTGGCTGCCAGGGAACTCAGAGCCAAATTTGCTGCTTGCCCTTAACCACAGCATAGGTTCCAATGGCCTATATTTCGGCATCAAACTTACTTTCAGCTTTGCTCTTTAAATTGTTTTGAATACATTTTTTGTTGTGCACCATAAATCCTTTTGAGGACAAATCACAGTGTAATGATAGAAAAAAAAGGTTCTATCATCCCCTTTCCACCCCCTTGCAGCCTGATAATTTAGAAGGAGTTTTCCTCCTTGCTCATTTGCATTCCTTTCTGCTCCTCCTCTGCCCACCTCAGGCTTCCTCTCCCACGTTGGGCGTTTACAAAGGCTCAGTGGCCTTGCAAGAAAGGCTGATCTATGAGAGGGCTCAAGCTTGGCCCAAACCCGAGACTACTAGGTTCAGAAAACTCCCTGAAGCTGGAGAGAATGATAGGACGCCTCTTAGAATAGATGTTTCAGGAAGCAGCTTCACACACCCCTTGCTTCTAAGGTTTCCTAGGAATCAGTGGTTTTTCCTAGGAATCAGATGGTTTCCTAGGAATCAGTGCATGATGGGCTATGAGACCAGTGAGGCGGTTTGGCCATTGGCCTCCTCTCCTGGGTATCACGGAGCATATTGACAGCTTCTCCATAAGACCCAGAAGAGAAGGAAATGGCAGTGAATGCTCGCACACACTGGAGCATCACCTGTCTTTTTGTGGTGTTTGAGATTCAGAAAGTGCTTTGAATTTCGTCAAGTCTGCCTTGGGAGCGTCTGCCCTCATGGTCCACCGAGTGCAGGACCACAGCGAAGAGGGGTTGTCCACAGAGGACAAGGAGAAGGCATGGCCCTATTTTATTCGTAGGGCTTCATCACTTCCCATCCAGAGTCCCTGTGCTCTGTTCCGGTCTTTGGCACATAGCTCTCAAAAGGAGGGCTGTGTGTGTGTGTGTGTGTGTGTGTGTGTGTGTGTGTGTTGGGGGCCCAGGAGGCCAGAGGAGACTCTATGTGACGGTTTCACAGGCCAACCCCCCTGAGCTGGACCAGGCCGAGGACCTGGCCTCTCTCATCAGTATCAACGAATCCAGTGTCCTGAACACGCTTCTGCAGCGCTACAGGGCTCAGCGGCCGCACACCTGCACGGGACCTGATCTGATCGTCCTCCAGCCCCGGGGGCCCTCGGTGCCGTCTGCAGGGAAGGTGAGGTGGGACTATGGGGGGCAGGGCTGGGAAGCTGAGGGCAGGAGGGTCTGGGGGGATCCCTCTGCATCTGAGGTGACAGTACAACCATGAGAGCCCCCAGTCTACCTGTCTGCAAGCAGCGTCCTTCTCG